GAAGACAATTGTCTTATGATATGTCTGTTTATGTCTTTGCTATGCGAGCAGTGAATCAAATGCAACGAATGGTGAACCAAATCGGCACATCTCAAGACTCTGATAATCTTAGATCCAATTTGTGAGTCCTTTTCACTGTCTTATTAGCCATTCATTTGGTATCAGTTTCGGTGATGTTTAAGATCTAGTTGTTTGTGTGGTTTCGTTAAACATATGTTTATTATTACGCGAAACTGATTAGTGTTTTGTTATGATCTCTACTAATGATTGTGTGATTACTCCAGACATGAGGTCCAGCACTACACCAACCAATTGGCGAAAGACACGAACAATAACCTCAAAGAGTTGGCACAACTGCCACAACCAACTAATGTCTCGGAACAGGTATTTTCAATGACAAGCCATTGTCTTACAAGTGATTGAATTAATGGTTGTGTCTGTGGTTTGGATGCTATGATCACCAGAAACAGAGACGTATGCTGAGGGAGAGACTCACGAATGACTTTTCGGAAGCGCTGAAGAACTTTCAGGTCATTCAACGGACGGCCGCGTCCAAGGAGAAGGAGAGTGTGATCAGAGCCCGGGCTAACTCTGGACTCAATTCTGTGAGTGTTTGCTACGACAGCACCGGTACTTGTTTTGCTAATTACACCCCTGTGTTGTCACCCAATTGTAGAATAATGTTTGGGACGACCACTCATCCAGAGGACCATCCAATCTGATTGATTTACAGAGGTTTGTATTCATTATTATGCATTCATTTGCAATTGTATTGAAATAAGCACTCAAACTCTAAGTCTACGTTAAATATGCGTTAAACCGTTGTTATCTAATAATTGTCATAAAAGTTATATAATTTAATTATCTTTTCATACGATATCAGTTGAAATGATATTATAAAACAGATTTATTTGAATAATAGCTGTTATATAGCAATAGATAATGAATTGATGGGAAGATTGTGTTTAAGACTAATCATAATTGGTTTGCCATTTAGTCCGCAATCGCAGACACAGATTCAGATGGAAGAGGAGTGCGATTTAGAGCTGTTGCGGGACAGGGAACAGGCGATCCGCAAGATTGAGTCCGATATCGTGGAAGTGAATCAGATATTCAAAGACTTGGCGACAATGGTTCACGAACAGGGAGAGGTGATCGACAGCATTGAGGCCAACGTGGAGACCGCGTCCATACAGGTGCACGAGGGGACGGCACAACTGTCCAAAGCACGTGATTATCAGGTCTGACCGCGAGTTTTGCACCTATTTTATCGATTTGTTTGCAACTCTAGTATTTGCTACAGTTTTATATCGATCGCATGATTGATTGTGTAGTGATTTTTAATTTGGTTTTTATTTTTTTTCTCTATTTCTTGTATCCGTTGGGCTATTATTTGGTTATGATTTGAATGCGACTTTAGAGCCGAGCGCGACGTAAAAAGCTTTGTCTTATTATAATACTTATCATTATTCTTGCAATAATTGTGGCCGTCGTGGTGATTGAAACCAGTAATGAAATGCCGTTTTTATACCTCTCTTTACCTCCCTTTCCATTTGATACCTTTTTACTCCCTTTTTACTCCCTTTCCTGTCATATCCATTTGAGTCCCATTTGTTGATAAAATTTTCTTGTCTTTTCCATTGACTTTCAATTTCTTTGACTAACATTTGATTATTTGTATGATTTATTGACTAATTTGATATTTTTGTCTCATTTTTTTGTGACAAACTTTTTTGTCCGCAGAGTAAAGCGCGCCGAAAGACCTGTTTGTTAAGCATTATCTTCTCGTCAGTGGTTCTTCTAATTCTAATTATATTATGGTTTTCGCGATAATACTATACAATTAAAAACCCGACATTCCTTTGCTTCAAAGAAGTCGACAATCGGTTTCAACCACCGCTCAGTTATTACTCGCATATTCTTGCTG